GCCATCAAGGCTGTCGCCCGAGCCGTGGCCGCAGCCAGGAGCAAGCTTGGAAAGAAAACCTTGCAGCGAACTACGCCCGTGGCGGCCCACCAGAGCAATGGAGGAGCAGAGCGCGCAGTGCAAACCGTGAGGCGTTTGGGGACGTGCCTTTTCCACGCCCTGGAGCTTAAGGCCGGGACTTTCCCGGCGGACACGCCTTTGAAACTTTGGGCCCAGGTCCATGGAGCCTTCCTTTACAACCGGTTCCACGTGCTGCCCGGAGTCCTGCAGACCCCCTACGAGTTGGCGTATGGCGGCCGGAAGTTCAACAAGGCCCTTTGCGTTTTTTGGGAAACCGTTTTTGGACAGGTCTTCCGGACACACAAGGGCGAGCCCAGGTGGATTAAAGGCCTATGGGTTGGGATGAGCACCACACCTCCGGGGCGAACCACCTGCTGACCACCTACGGCCACATCCAGAGCGAGAGCGTGCGCCGGGCCACCGAGCAGCAGCAGCACTGGTTGGCCCTGGAACCGAGAGCCACGACGAGCCGAAGCAGCCCCAGCTGCCCCTTGGTGCTCCCCCGGGCACCCTCTTCTGTCGGAGGAGGACAACGAGGCCCAAGCAGTCGAGGCAGCAGCCAAGGGCAAGGAGGTCGACACCGACAGTTCAGAGGAGCTGCGCCCAGCCGACCCGAAGGACGTGGCGCCTTTGAGAAGCCCGTCGAGAGCCAGGAGCCCATCGAGGAGCCCGTCGTTTTCTCCGTCATTTTCGCCGCGGTCGGTGTCCCCGACTGAGCGCCCCGACCGAGCCCAGAGCAGTGGACACGGACCCGGAGACAGCCCAGCAACAAAGCGCAAGGCCGAAGAGATGAGCGGAGGAGGCGAAGACGCCACGACGGAGCCTGCCGAGGTGATCCACCAACCTGCCCCCGACGAGGCCATGGAGGCTGAAGGGGAGTTTGCGGTGCGTATGGTGGAGACCGTGGACGCATCGTGGCACGAGGCCTGGAAAACAACCGCCTACGGAGAACCTGAGGACTTTGAGGGCGAAGAGCCGCCCGACCTCAGCCCCGAGGACCTGGCAGAGCTGGACGACCAGGCAGAGATCGAGGAGCTCACCCGCCTCGAGGGCATGAACGTGCTCATGGAGCCGAACCCCCACAAGCAGGCCGAGCATCTCAGCACAGTCTTTGTGAAGATGTGGAAGAAGGGGCCAGACGGATGGTTCAGAAGGGCCCGGCTGGTGGCCAGGCAATACCGCTGGGCCTCGGATATGCTCGAGGAGGACACCTTCAGCCCAGCGAGTGTGAGCACCTTGGCGCGTTTGGTGCCGCTTCTGGCCCAGAAGTGGGGCACCCCGATCTACATCATGGACGTTAAGGACGCCTACCTGTGTGTTCCCCAGCCGGAGGACGAGCCCGTGGTTGTGACGGCCCCGCGGTCCTACGTGAACAAGTTCGGTGCGAGCAAGACCTGGAAGCTTGGGCGAGTACTGCCGGGACAGCGGCGAGGCGCCCAAGAGTGGTATCACCAGCTGGCCGGCGACCTCAACAACGCCAGCCTGGAATCTATGCCAGAGGTGCCAACTCTTTACAGAGCCAATGGCAAGGAGGAGCGCTACGTGGCACAGGTGCACGTGGATGATATTATGGCCACCGGGGATGCTGAGCCCCACGGCCAGGTGGAGAAGAACCTCACCGACCGGTACACCGTGAAGATTGCCGGCCCCTACCAGCAGCCCGGGGACGAGTTCGAGTTCCTCAAGCGACGGTACCAGATCCAGAGCGATGGTTCCATCACTGTTCGGGCCCCGGTGCGGCTGTACAACGACCTCTTCGAGCTGGCCGGCCGACCCAAGGTGAAAGCAACCCCCGGACCAAGCGGTCAAGACGATATGTTCGCCACCGACGCCACTGAGGAGCTGAACCCCAGCGAGGCCACAGCCTACAGGACTATGTTGGGAAAGGTGCTCTATATGAGCAACGAGCGGCCGGACGCCCAAGCAGTGATCCAGAACCTTTCCTCCCGGGCGGCCAAGCCAACAGCCAAGGCGATGAAGTTGATGAAGCACCTGGTCGGTTACCTTTGGGGAACCCAGGGCTATGGTGTTAACTTGTGCCTGGCCCCCGGCAAGTCTGTGATGAACTTCGCACGTGGCAAGCTGACCCCCGACGAGCCCATCACCGAGCACCTCGTGGAAGGATATTCCGACTCCAATTTCGCCAACGACCGCACCACCCGCAAGAGCTTGAGCAGCGGACAGATCTACATCGACCAGGCGCTCATGTATAGCTTTGTGCGGGGCCAGAAAGTGGTTACCTTGAGCTCGGGCGAGGCGGAACTTGTCGCCTTGACCCAGGCCACGAGTGAGGCGATATTGGTGCACAAGGCCTGGGTGTGGACTACACAAGAGGAGGCCAAGCTGGTGACGAGGAGCGACTCGTCGGTGGCAAGAGCCATCGCAAGCCGACTTGGAGTCGGCCGGGTGAGGCATTTGCAAACAAGCTGCCTCTGGATACAGCAGTGGGTGGCAGCCAAAACGCTACGTGTGGCGGCGGTGCCGACCCAGTTCAACCCGAGTGACATGGGCACGAAAAGCCTGCAGCAGCGGAGGCTGAGGATGTTGTGCTTCCTGGCCGGCATGGTGGACGACCATGGAACCAACATTGGCCAAGAGGAGCATGCTGAAGCCCTTGGCCGAGATGTTTTGGGGCGTTCTGGCGGCGACCTTATGGTGAGAATGGTGCAAGCCTTGATGGTGATGACCATGCAGGGCTGCAGTGGGCCGGACAGCGGCCAGGCGGGAATCTACCTGGAGGCGGTGCTTTTCTACTTCCTGGAGGTGTTCTACAACAACCCGGTCTTCTTCCTTGCGGCCCTCCTCACCTACGTTCTGGTGACCAGTCGGTGGACGCTAAGTTTCAGCGTCTCGAGCCGAGGCCCAGCCGGCTCGGACGCAGCCACCCAGACGGAGAACAAGCGCGCCGACAAGGAGACGGAGACCGAGCCGACCACAGAGCGCAAGCCCAAGGGAACGAAGCCCAACAAGCAGCCCGAGCACGAAGGAGCCAACACCTTTGGGGAGCCAACCCGTGAGCCGGAGACCTTGGAGGAGGCCAAGCGCCGACTGCACGAGACCCTCACTTACGAGGACTTGTTCGAGCCGAAGCCGGGGCTTGAGCCGGCTACGACAGCTACTTCGGCGGCAGCGGCGGCCAGTGCTTCTTCCTCAACAGCCTGTTTCTCCCAAGGAAGAACTGAGGCCAGGGTTGCGCTTTCTGTACAGAGACGCGGCTTCTTAGAGTGTGCAAGGCAGTGCCTCAGCAAGGCTGAGCTTGAAAGTGAATGTTGGGTGACGGAGTTTGGGTATGCCTACCACCGCCGGAGCTGTGGAAACCTACGGCATGCCAAGAATGTGAAAAGGACCACGGCGGATGAGGCCATCGGAGCAGGCAAAGCCGCATGCAACCAGTGCTTTGCAGACCACTGGACTCCGACCGTGAAGTACAGGTTCCCGGGTTTGAGTTTGTGAATTCAGCCAGCCATCTCAAATGAGAAAGTGCTGGCTGAGGGGGCGTGTTAGACATGTCAAACCCCTCGTCAGTCACGACAGTACATGTCGGTACAGTGCATTGCAACATGCGGTGCGAACAGATTTGTGCAACGACGTGCAGCCCTTTCTGCAGCAAAAGACCAGAGCGTTTTGTTGTTTTTCATAGTTGGAACTTTTGAGTACTCTTGCTTCCCTCCGGACTTGGGACCGGAGCAGCTCAGGCTCTGACAATGTTTGCCATGGCGCGCGAGGAGAAGACGGACTGTACTAGCCTGACCTCNNCCTCGCCTGAGCCGAGAGGCTTACAGCAACAGCAACAGCAACAGCAACAGCAACAGCAACAGCAACAGCAACAGCAACAACAACAGCAACAGCAACAGCAACAGCAACAACAACAACAGCAACAACAACAGCAGTAGCAGCCGCACCAGCAGCAGCAACAACGACGACAACAACAACAACAATACTAATTAGCCATGACAACAGCAGTAGCAGCAGCAACAACGACAACAACAACAGTAACAGCAGTAGCAGCAACAACGACGACAACAACAACAACAACAGGTTCATGTCACTGTAGCAACTTTGTATCCCGGTGAAGCAGGCTTGGCCATGCCGGGTGCCAGAACACGAGTCAGGTCTGCACAGGAAGAGATGCAAGCCAAGCTGGAAGACAGGAGACGCAAAGTCGAAGGACTACCCCCTGTCCTTTCATGCGCGGAGGACGAGGCACCTGCAGAAGTCAATGAAGTACAGGAGGGGCAAGGTGATGCACGAGGGCCCGCAGGGGAGCAAAAAGCAGATGCTCCAACACCAGCTGTTGCAGGAGTTTGTGGGAAGTTTGCGCTGCTGTACTTCTGATGCCAGCTGACTTGTGTTGCTTTGCGCTGTGTGTTGGGAGGACTTCTCACTGCCATTGAGGGCTTTCGCACTTGCCTGTGCCCTCGCTGCCTGCATTCAATGCCGTTGAGACGACACCGGCCAAGGGCCGCCATCTATGAGGGAGGTGTGAGCTGCGACCGATGCAAGAGAGAGCTCTTGGGCCAGGCACAATGAACAGCCGCAAATTCCAAGCCTTCCTCAAATATCTTCTGGCTGCATCACGAACAAACCGATGCTGTCTGTCCGCTATGTGGGCCTTTTGAAGAAGCTTCCCTGCCAGGTGGAAGCACAGGAGCTCGAACTCGAGCCTCGCGATGCGTTCTGCCACTGCAGCCGCTGCTGGTTCGATCTATGCAGATCCTGTGCGTACAAGGACCCGTCGTTTGTTGGGGTGTCTTTTGCAAGTGTTGCTCTGCACTGCAGCTTCGATACCCTGGAGGAGATGCAGGAGGTCTGGTGGGGGGAAGATTGACTGAGCTTGCCGCCGAAAGAGCTTCTCAAGACACCCTATCGTGGTCTGGCAAGTGCAAACGTTTCACCAACGAACCGTCAGTTGCAGAAGGCGACATGTCCCCAGAGAGAGAAACCACATGGCTTAATCTCGATGCAGCAGTAGAGAAGACTTGGGCAGAGACTTCTGGTCTGTGAGACCGTTTGTTCAACTCTTGACGAGTTTTCGTGCAGAAGCTTCAAGATTCTGACAATTATTACGTTTCAACACGTCCGTCCAAGGTTTGCTGCCATCCGACCTTATGGCGAGTGGATCCATTGCCAGCGGTTGCACCAGCATATGAAGCTTGTCGTGACAAGCATTTGTCAGAAGGGTTCTGTGGGCATCCGCCGACTGTGAGAGCAGCAGGCTTTCCTGCCCTGATGATGTATATGCTGCTATGAAAGCGTTCTTGTTTGAGGGCGGTTTCTTGCGGTTCCTCGGTCTCGGTGACAGAAATCGTGGGCTCACGCGTTCTTTGTTGGCTGGCTAGCACCGACGGCGCTGCGATACAACGAAGCCTCGGCCTAGGACCTGAGCCACTGGGATGGGCCGGAGCTGGAGGCGAGGCCTTGCAGACACCTGCTGCGCTTGCTTCGACAAGCGGAGGTTAATGGAAGTACAGCACAGGTCTTGGCTCAAGCATTGCCGCCATGGCCTTTGCACTTTCGTTGCATGGAGTGCCAGTGGCGACATCGCTTCCACCTGGGTTCTGGACGAAGAAGAGTAACAGGAAGGACCAGGAGGGTACCCGAGACTGAACGACGGATTTGCTGGACCTGGAGGGTTTGCTCATGTTACGTCAGTTTATTGAGCATTCTCGGACGGTCCGGACGGTGTAGACCAAGTTTGGAGGAGCAGCATCCAGTTACAGGATTTGGATTGTCTTGTGCAAGTTGCAATCAAGGCAGCCGTTCAGTTTTGACAGCAGCGACCTTTGCAGCAGCTGCTGCGGCTCATGCAGGACACTTTCTGCAACTTATGCCTTAAGCTCGTTCTTCACGAATCGCGACCCTGTGCTGTCTCCTTTGAAACCCAAACCCTGCCAAACCCCCCTTCCGAGGTTGGTGCTGGACCTCCACGGCTTGTGGCTCCCGTGCAGCACCTCGCTTCAGACTCAGGATGCATGCGGTGGAGATTGTGGATGCCGAGATCATCAGCCACCGAGCACGAACAGTAAGGACGGCAAGCTGCGACTAGGGCATGGCCCACAATGAGTCAATGCTTCTGGCAGTTTTTTAGAAATTCCTTTTGCATTCTTGTCTCAGGCGAGATGCCGGCTTCCGGAGGAGATGGACAAGATGCGCCTCAAGCCGATCCTGCAGAGGCAGAGGCTGCTGCGGCCGTGATCGATGCCGTGCCTGGTGTAGCACTGATGCCAGTCTCCTTTAGCTAACTTGAGAACCTGTACTTTACGTTCACCCGGCGCGAAACCGCGAGCCAAGGTGCTGCAGCTGGTGGAAGCTTGGCTCAATCAACGCATGACCTGTGCAGGGGCAGTAGGGGGAATTTGAGCAAACCACAGCCACAAACTTGGCAAACATCTGGCTTAAGGAGAAGAGCGGCGTGCCAGTTCGCAACCAAGTGATGGAATACAAGGTTCCATGCACCGGAAAGCCAAGTGTCATCACAACAGATTGTTTAACCATGCAGGGCATGTTCTCGAACTGAGCTGCGGCAGGTGACATCCGTGGTTTTCCTTAAATTTGAAAGAGAACAATGACATCGACACGTGCAGTCGTGCTCGTGCCTGTGTGAAACGGGGTCTTGTGCCCGAGATTGATAAACGTGTGCCCTGGGCATGTAGACAGATCCGAGCTGGTTGTCAGGCGGAGCCTTCGCGTTCGCCGCTTGCGACTTGCGGGATTCCGGAACTTGCGCCGGGTGGGACCAAGGCTCCGGCACGGCCCTGTCAGTCTGGCTGCTTATCCCGTCGTTTGCATGTTTGCGGGTCTTACGGCTGGACATGAAGATAATGAAGCATATCGGCTTCATTTGTAGTGTGGTTACATCGTTCTGTCGTTGAGTGGCAGGCTACGCAGCTGTTGGTGGCAGGACTTCGTGCCAAGGGCGCAGATGCTGACAAAGCTGAGGTGGCAGCTGCTGTGTTGCTAGGCTGCTAGATGCACAGATGACGTTGGTGCTTCAGTCTATCTGCCTTTACAGCTGAAATCTTCCCTGAAATCTTCCGCCCGGCGACGATAAGAAGCATTTAGAAACATTCGCTGCAGCTTTGTAGTCATGTCGCAGCTGAGGTTGTGCCTCATGCTCGGTGGCTTAGACGAGGCTTCAAAGCAGTGCATGAGCTGCTAGCCAAGTGCTGAATGCCTTTTTGCAGGCCCACAACCTTGTCATGCCGCACTGCTGGGCCACACCGACTACTTTCGGTGGCCCGCCTAAGCTGGGGAGCACGGTGCCATGGCAGCAGTGGTTAAAGGCGACATTCGAGCCTCGCGCCTCGGTACTCCGATACAGAGAGATGAACGCCGACCGAGATCCGTTGCAGCGAGCATTTGCGATAACATCCTAAGTTTCGGTGTCCTGTCCGCCGGAGCAAAGCAAGGCAAAGCAAAGAGCGAGACATCGTTACACCTGCAGCGCTGGACGCTGGAAGGACTAGCGAGACAGACAGAGCTAGAGGAGGCACAGCAAGCGGGGGGGGTGCGGTTGCTCCTTCGTCAACCTCTGCGAAAGAGAAAAGCCCCCTCACCGCACGCCGCAACAGGGAGCCCGGACCGACCTCTCCACAATTGACAGCAAAAGGGGAACGAACCCAACCAAGGGGGCACAGCACCTTGAAAAAGGGGATGTGAGATATGATGGCAGCCCGACGTAGTTCCGTGCTGGCCATGTGCCACGGATCCTGGCACCAGAAGACGACAGCGTTTGTCTCCCGCCCATGGCTGCTCTTCGCACTTCCCGGTCCGTTTCCAAGCTGCTCAGTCGGCTTCCGTTTGATGGTTTGGCATTGTCGCCCCGCGACCTCTCGCTTCTCCTCTGGCGATTCGCGATGTGAGTGGCCATGTACTCTAGACGTCAGCCACTCCATTGCGAGGGCTGCTGGTGCAGCGGCTGAAGCCTGACGGTAGCTACGGCGTGTGCAGTCTAGGTCCATCGAGTTGATTTGCACAGGGAAGGCTGGGCACAGCAGGCAATAGGAACGAGGGGTGAGGATGTAAACAGAGCGATCCGTCGCAGGTGGGTTGCGCACGTGCCAGGACCTTCTTTTCTAGACCTGCAGGCAGAAAGGGCGAAACTGGTCGGACAGCCTGAACCCCCTGCAGTGTGTTTCCACTCTCAAGGGTGTGCCGTGCAAATGCATTGCTGGAGCTCGTGCCCGCTTGCTACATACCTCTCCAAACTGTCCGTCCTGCGGTGTAGCTCTCGGAACGCCCGTCCTGTGGCGTCATATGCCTACCCATGCCTACCCGTCGCTTTCGCACTTTCTCAGCCCGTCCCCATCCAAAAGCCCACTCCTTCCGCGTATCGCGTTCCAAATTCGAACGAGGGCCCGACCTCCGAGAGAAAAAGATGAGGGATGAGGGCGTGCCTGGGCTTCCGTGAAGCCTTGTGAACAATAATGCGGCTGTTGGATCACTGTCCACGTTGCAGGTGTTCCGCGAGGCTGCATATGGCCAGGTCATCGTGCACCGTATGGAAGGCAGCCGGCTATAAAAAGATGCCAGAGAAAAATGCTTTGAGTTGGTTCTGCTGCGAAAATTCGTTACCGAGAATACCACGAGATGGGTAGCTTCTACTTGTATGGCGAAGAACGGCAACACCTGACAAGATGTTTCTCCAACGGGCCTTAGAAAACACTTTGCCTGAAAGGCGAGAATCTGGGCGAATTTGGATCTGGGAATCTCAGTTGCATTGATTGCACACAACACACTTGTCGACATCACACTGTGACAGCGGTCAGCGTGTGAGAACGGCTTGCTGATCCGCATGACCACTGCGAGGTTCAACAACAGAAGCTTGGATTTCAATTATGCGCAGGTGCGATGTATGTGGCACAGCCGGGGTCTGTTCAAGATGCTGAACTTCTTGCTTGGCGCCACTGTAGCAGTCCGATATTGCCCAGACATGGTGCACAGATAAAATTTGAAGGCTTGTGACAGGGCTCGGTAGACAGAGTTTCGACAAGCATGATTCCATGATGCAAGCAGTGCTGGTGCTTTACACTTCGTTGTGGGCGTGAGCATAGTGCTATCCACGTGTTCTCTGGCCTTCTCAAGACTGCACTGTTGTTGAGATGCAGTTGCTTGCCTGGACCTATTCAGCACTTCGAGGCAGATACTGGCTGGGCCAGGCTTTCTCCTTGGGAGCGAGCCAACACACAATCTTCGCGGAACTGCGGAAAGATGCCGAAGGCTTCGTTGGCACATGCGCGGATCTTACGTGCAGAGGCAGTAGAAAAGCGTCCAGCTCCGGGAAATGGACCGTGGTCGAAAAATCAGGCCATGATTCGCGCTGCCTGCTGCGGACCATGGGTCCCAAGTGGGAGCCGTCACTGTTCAACAAACTCTGCGAAGATGTGCTGCTGTTCCTCGGCTTGGGACCTTTTCGAAATCAGGTCATGTGGACGGAAGCTGCAGTGATTGGCTTGTATCTTCCCTGCGTCCTTTGAGATCTCGAGGACAGAGGATCCAGATACCCTGGAGTTTTGCAAGGCTGTTCAAACCAGGGAGCTTCAGCTTCTTTTCGAGCACATCATGGCGCCGGATGACTCTGCCGCAGCTTGAGGCGATGCTGCATCAGTGACATCTTGTCTTTCCAGTTTTTCATGCAGTAATTGCCCAATGTATTGTCGCGAAGCGAGAATGCATTCATTAGGGCAAACCTGGCGATCTTATAGAGGGCAATGCAAAGTGGCCAGCTGCAGAAAAACCGCAGCCTTGGCCAAGCTCTGGTTTTCATCGCATCCCGGCGAAGAGCACTTTCTGTACCGCGCGCGGCATGTCAGCACGCAAGCCGCGTACTGCGCTCGTGCACAAACTGCAACGTTGTTGTCCCTCACTGCATGAGCTTTGTTGAAAACTGTCTGCCGACCTGGTTCTAGTTTTGCAAGCTTCAATGTGCTGCCTGTGTTTGCTCAGTTTTGACGAAGGCTGCAACTTTGTGGTTTCCAAGTTCCACTCCGAAATGTGTAAGCAAGCTTCCTGCTATGCTCAGCCCGTCGCAGCTTTTCGTGTCTTTTCGCTTCATGCTGTCGAGCTAGAGTTTCGGCCAGCGGTTCAAGCAGTCCGTGCCCGAGCAGTTTCCAGCAGTCGCAACAGAGAGGACAGGGGTTCACCCAGAGTCACGTGATGCAGACATTGTCGAGGAATACCAAGTGCTTTGCCAGCAGGAGACAGCAGGAGCATGCCCCAACCGATCAAGGATGTCTCACAGGCTTGAAGGGTGGCAGTGCAAACATGAACTCCATAGAACATGCAGTGGGACAAGGAATTTTCGCTGTAGTTTGTTCACGCTCGCTGTCCGATACTAAAACTCCTTGTCTTGCCCAAGCAGAGTCAGCGACTGTACACAGCATGATTTGCGCCCGTAGCTGGTGCAGGAGGTGGTTGCATCAGATCAGTGGCTCGGTCTGTCGGTCGGATGTGTTTTTCCTCGCAATCGGGTGCCTGCGCGACGTCTCAGGTTTAACCCGGTGCACGGCATCGAACTAAACTGCGATGTTGAAGTCGGTGAGACGACGAAAGTACAAGCTGCCGAGGACGATGTGCAACAGCTGGAATGACAAGCTTGTTGAACAGTGACTGGCGAAACGGTTGCCCTCAGCAGGAGATCGTGCCGAAGAGGTGCGATTTGTGCTGCTGCACGAGCCGACGGAAAAGATTCTGCATGCTAGCTGGGGCTTGCAGCTGTTTCACGCTCGCTATCCTGGTTTGTGCCGGTGTCTTGCTAGCACCTCGAGGGCCCCCGAGAACACCAGCCATGACATGATGCAGCTGAGGCTTGTTTTGGCCCCGTGATCCCAGCTGGAAGCTGACGAAGCTTGAAGCACCTTGACGCGAGCTGGAGCCAGCTTCTCATCTGCTCTCCCTTGCTTTTTGGAGGTAACGACTCCAGATGCCCTGATGTACTTTGTCATGGCCTTTGCGGCCGGGCCGAGCGCTTTCGATGAAAACGCTACCTATCCCGATGTGAAGTTTTACGCTGAGGCAGAGGCTGCTGGACCCAAGAAAGCTTGAGGGCTTGAATAAGGAAAGCACGCTTTTGAATCTACAAAGTTCGCCAGATCTCCCCAGCCTGGCCGTGCTCAGGTGTTTAATCCCAATCTGCTCGGCGGCGAAGCAGACACAGGCGGGATGATGCGGGGGCCGCAACATGTGCTTTCTTTGAGGGTTTTCAGGTGCAGTGAAGGTCCTGTACCACGGGCAAGAGCTGGGACTTGCTATCAGCCACCCGGCATCGGCAACTTGGCTGCTGGATGTTCAGGTTCTGTGGCATTTCTGCGACGGCCGTCAGCATCTGCTAGTGAAGGTGAAGCCCCAATCCAATGTCACAGTCGGGGCGGATGTCACGATCAAACTGGATGCGGCAATGTTTCAGGAGCATACTGTCAAGCGCGCCAAGTTTGACGCGACACGCAGCTGTTGCAGGCCCTGACCACAGATGTCATTTCACACGATCTCAAGCTGACGATCCAGCTGGAGGGTGCAGCTGACGTCACGGGACCCTTAGGCAGGTTTGGGACGCTGACTGTGGACATAGAATTGCGCCCAATTCTTCGACCAAGGGCTTATCCAAGCTGAGCTGTTGACCAACAGCATTTGATGTCTTGCTGTGTTGGTTGTCCTTTCTCAGGCATCCGCATCAAGTGCCGGCTTGAGTGTGATGTCTTTTGTTCAACGGGCGAGCTTTTCAATCCCGAGTCGAGGTGTCGCGGCTTGAACTAACGCAGTTTGGTGCAGCTTTTTTGATTGCATGATGCGCTATGGAGACAGCAGCCACTCAAAGCTGAGAGTCAGCAAATTTCCCTATACCCATCTATCAACGTAGAAGCCAGCCGTCCGCAACAACTTCCAGGCATGCAGTCGTGGAAGGCCAGTCATGCAGGCAGCTTGGTATTCAAAGATCTTCCAGCGAGCCGTAATCTGCTTTGCGCAAGTTCCCGTCGTGGTCGTGCTAAGAGAAGCCACCCAGTGACATTTTGGCGGGGAAGGCCGATCAACTCCCCCGAGCCAGCAAGCTTGGAAAAGCTGGGCCCCCGATAATCGGGAAGACGAGTTCTTAATGCACGCATGCAATTTCAGACAGACCTGTACCACACCATGTCAGACCAGCTTAATAGAAACCAGAGTGGGTTAAGAGCAAATCATCACTTCGATCAGCTTGCACAGGTGTGTTTGTGTCACTGGTTGTTTCCAAATGGTCTATGTCTTCCTGGTGTATGACTTGCACATACTGACATACTGTACGAAATGGGACCGCGGGGTTTTTCAGGTGGTGCATCTTCACTGCTTGTGCTATGCACGATATGGAGCCCGTTTGTCATCGGCAACATTCAGCCTAGACAAGACGTGTTAGCCGGTACGATTTTGCAAGGTCCAGTCGGGGTTAGCAGGCAAATTTATGTCCAGCACTGTTAGCTGGGACCTTGCATCTTGTGCGAAGTGAATGCAGACTTGGCTTTCAGTTGTGGAGCCTTGGCATGCTACCCGTAGCAGTTTTGCTGATGGCTCCGCCCATCACCACCCCGTTCTTCACCGAAGTTGTAGTGCTTGCTGGCACGATTTCGCATTGAGACCCCGTGATGATTCGGTGTTGTCTTACGGTGTGGATACTGGGCTGATTTTGGGGTTGGATAAGTTGAAGGGATTCAGCTGCGCGAACATCATGGCTCGTCACTTCACGGGTGTTGGGGATTATCTGTCTGCGACTGTTTTGGCTTATTGCCCAGTGTGCTCAGTCAAATCACGCCTGGAAATTGGGTCCCGCTTTGTGCCGCACAGGACCGGCCAAAAGCTTGTCAATCCCTTCAGACACTATAAAAATAACAACCCTTGCCGCACTGGACCGGGCTTTCCCAACTCTTCACGCCATACTATTGCATGTATCAGTTCCGCATGTCTGCCAAGGTATCGTTACTTCTGAGAACTCGCGGAGTAGTCGGAGGCAGCTCAACAACAGAAGCTGTGTTCTACAGCGTGTTGCCTGCACGCACTTGGCGCGGGCTTCACGCAGTTCACTCCGTTCCACCTGTTATAAGACAGTTGGAGCGGGGTCGCTTCCAGAACTTTTTGGAGCATCCAGTTGAAAGGTCGACCCGGCAGGCAGGATGAGCTTTATGCTGAGCCTGCTTGGGCCAAGTAGCAATTCTCACAGGGTGCCGATGGAGACATCTCTGGAGTATGAGTCACGACTGATGTGTCCAACATCTGAAATGGGAGATCCCGAGAACTGCTGCTTGTTTAGGCCTGCATGGGGTTCTGCACGCTCTGCGCGGCCAAGCCGCAAAGAGCAGGAAGCTCTCAGCACAAAGCAGTGGCTCTACGTTGCTCTGCACTTGCTGTACGCTGTGCGACTTTCATCCGATCATGATGCATCAGGGGCATCTGACACTTTGCGGGTTTTTCAAAGATGAGGGAGCTCCTCACTCCCGACGTTGAAGTTTGGTTTGATGCATCGGGCCGGGAATCTTGAAATTTGCCGAAACAGTCTTGCGCATTCCGCTCTTCGCTCGAGGCTGGTGTTACCACTAGCCGCAGCAAGCCAGCCGAATGCGAATGTTTTGTGTCTTGTGCCTGGTTCCGTGACGGGCCACGGCGCAGGGGGCCTGGGAAGCACAATGCTCATGGTCCTACAGCAGTGCCGTCGAAGGCGAGCTGGCGGGCTCCAATACAAGTCGGAGATTGCCTGGACATCTTTTGTTTGTCAAACTAGTACTAATGGAGCATGCGCCACCGCTGCTGCTCGACCCGTCGGGTTGTAACACTCGAGATCCGCAGCTTAAAGTGCAAAGGCACTTTAAAGGGTCTTGCGTCTTGTTGGCAAGGGTTAAGAACAGAACGATGTCATGGCATGTGCATTGCTATAGTTTGTGTGCGGGCAGTTGCAAGCAGATGGAATTGAGTGCCAGCTAGACAGGGCCTCCCACAGTGTGGGGACCTGCAGAGAAAATGCAGCCACGGACTTGGACAAAAGATCAGCCTCGTGCCACGTGTTTGTGTTGCAGGCTCATGGCACCGAAGTTGCACAGAGAGTTCTGATGCGGTGCTTGTAATGTTGCGTAGAAGTTGCTAGGCCTTGGCTGATGATCTGGAGGGGTCAGGTTCCGCGGCTTGAGTCCTTCTTGAATACAGAGAAACTCAACAAAAAGGAATGCCACAGAGCCACAGATGCAGCGAAAGGGCGGTCCGAAAGATTGAAATTGACATCAGTTCTTTCAACTCACGTGTTGGTCGTACAGCAAGGAGCAGGGCATACGGTCACTTCTCAGGCCATCTTGTCTCACGGTGTTCATGTCCCCTTCTGACAACTTCTGTCTTGGGATATGCGAAAAACCTGAAAGGTTCAGTGATGTTCGCATAGAACTGGGCCAAGAGCTTGCCACAAGCAAAGCTCAATCTCTCAAGCTTGGGTTCAGGAACGGTGCAGGGTCCAGCTTTCATTTGCAGTTGTAGTGTTTCTCCCAGTCCTGTGTTCTGCAGGTGAGGGAAGCTGAGGCGAAGGCCTTTGCCGAATGCTGGAGGTGCTGAGTAGCTGAGTAGCTGGCACCATGTCATCGAAATATGTT